ATATATATATATATATATATATATATATATATATATTATTAAGAAATCTTAAATATTTTGCAAAAACAAAAATAGAAAATAAATATCACCTAGTAAAAACTAGTATGTACTTAAATTTTCCTTTCATTATACTCACATTTTTTTGTCATTTTTAAAATTGCAATTGATTTACTTTTGGTAGTAGGAATTTTCGCTCTCATAGTATCTTTTTTTTTTATTATTTTCCTTAAATGATCCTATTTTTTGTAACTAGATAAATATTATATCAACCCTTGAATATTTTTATATTGGAGAACTGGTTAAATGGCTTTTATTAACGTCACACGAGGGTTATAGGCTAAGACCTCGTTATTTTCAACCTCGGTCAAGTGATACCAGAGCTGACACCTCCCTCTCGAAATTTATGCGCCATACCAACGAGAAAACTTTGGTCTCTTCAGATTTAAAATGCATCAGCCTCGGCTACGCGGTGGGTCTTTAGTGACAGATCTCGAACCCACAACCCGACGAAAACCGCCGGCCGCAAGTCCGCGACCATGACCACTAGGCTAGCATGGCCTTTATGTAGGAGAAATAAGATTTAAAGTAACGTATTCTTTAGTTTTTACCGATTGGTATTTCTAAACAAAGGAAATTGTTTCTTTCTCAGCGATGACAATATGTACACCCCGATATTAATTTCTTTGTATGACATTGACGCAGACCGACTAAAATACTGTCGGCCAGAGCTCGATGTCATGGCTACTAACTATGTAACCTGGGTCATGCACAGGAGGCATTCTATTTTTAAAGATCTCACGCTAATAATGGTGAATTGGAGATCTTACCTTGTGGAATTACTTTTTCAATCCGTAATTTAACATTAAATCCAAATCTATTACTTCGCATCGGTAATTAATAATATTTGTAGTTCGCACGCGGATTAAACTGAAACATATAAGATTTTAGTTAACCATATCTTTAAATAAAAATTAACCTTACAGAAATACTGTTTAATTCATTACTGGATACTAAAAATTCGTAAGTGTACGCAGTGTCTTAAGTTTTTTGAAAAAATTCCCTTTCCTAGCCTTTTAATTGATAATCGGAACACTAATTTCGAAAACAGACGTGAAGCGACATTTTCCCCTTCACTAACTAAATGCTTTTAGTTTAATTGATAC